GTGTGTGCATGAGACCATGTGCGCGGTGCATGTGTCCGTTATTATGTGCGAGTATGTATATGGTGCGTGTGTGTAATGCGCATGTGTGCGTGTGTATGTGTATGTGTGCGTGTGTATGTGTGTACGTGTGTGCATGTGTATGTGTGCATGTGTGTGTGTGTGCGTGTGTATGTGTGCGTGTGTATATGTGTGTGCGTGTGCATGTGTGCATGTGTGTGCGTGCGTGTGTGCGCGCGTGTGTATGTGTGCGTGTGTGTTTGTGCATGTGTGTGCATGTGTATGTGTGCGTACGTGTGTGTATGTGTGTGCATGTGTATGTGTGTATGTGTGTGCATGTGTATGTGTGTATGTGTATGTGTGCGTACGTGTGTGTATGTGTGAGCGAGTGTGTGTGTATGTGTGAGCGAGTGTGTATGTATGTGTGAGCGAGTGTGTATGTGTGTATGTGTGCGTGTGCGTGTGAGCATGTGTGCGTGTGCATGTGTGCATGTGCGTGTGTATGTGCGCGTGTGTGCATGTGAGAGAGTGTATGCTAATGTGTGAGCGAGTGTGTGCGTGTGCATGCGACAGAATTGAGCGCGAGTCACACACTTGCACACACGGCGACGCAGTAGCGGCAGACAGAGGGAAGGTAGTAGGCAAGGCAAGAGCTCGTGTGCAGCTGTAGCTTCATTTGACGCACCGACTTCAACGGTTTCAGCTTGGCGTTCAAGCTCTCGATCAAGTTGGTGCTCACCCAATCGTACCTGGAAGCCAAGAGTAGCAGGGACAAGCGTGTGTGTGTGTGTACGTGCGTGTATGTATGTATGTATGTGTGTGTGCATGTGTGTGCATGCGCGTGTGTGTACGTGCGTGTATGTATGTGTGTGTATGTGTGTGTGTGTATGTGTGAGCGAGAGTGTATGTGTGTGTATACGTTGTTGCAAGTGTGCAAGTGTGCAAGTGCATGTGTGTGCGCGCGCATATGTGTGTGTGTGTGTACAAGCATGTGGTCGCTTCGTGTGTGTGTGTACGTGCGTGCGCGTGTGTGCATGTGTGTGCATGCGTGTGTGTGTGTGCGCGCGTGTGTGTGCATGTGTGTGTATACGTTGTCGCAAGTGTGCAAGTGCATGTGGTCGCCTCGTGTGTGTGTGCGAATGCTTGCGCGCGCGTGTGCGTGGTCGCAAGTGTGCAAGTGCATGCGTGTGTGTGTGCGCGCGTATGTGTGTGTGTGTGTGTGTACAAGCATGTGGTCGCTTCGTGTGTGCATGTGTGTGCATGCGTGTGCGTGTGCGCGTTCGTGTATGTGCATATGTGTGTGTGCGTATGTGTGTGCGCGCGTGCGTGTATGTATGTGCGTGCGTGCGCGTGTGTGCATGTGTGTGCATGTGTGTGTGTGTGTGCGCGCGCGTGTGTGCATGTGTGTGTGTATACGTTGTCGCAAGTGTGCAAGTGCATGTGGTCGCGTGTGTGTGTGTGTGTGCATGTGTGTGCATGCGTGTGTGTGTGTGCGTATGCTTGCGCGCGCGCGTGTGTGCGTGGTCGCAAGTGTGCAAGTGCATGCGTGCGTGTGTGCATGTGTGTGTGTGTGTGTGCGTGCGTGCTCGCAAGTGTGCAAGTATATGTGCGCGCTCATGTGTGGTCATGTCGTGCGAGCGCTGTGCACATGCGTGTCAATGCAAGCACGCGGTCGTGTCGGGTCGTGCGA